TATTAGTCCTGCAACCATCGGGCACCTGTCAACTCCCGAAAGGAATCCGATGGAGAAACAGCCAACAGCGGCTGACCTTATCCTGCCTCCGCCATCCTTCCCTGCATCATCGATTACCAACGCACGAAGCTCATGGGCTTGTAGCGGTCATGTCGATGGAATTCGGCAGTGGGGTGACATTCACGCAACGCCAATTTATTTGTTTTAGTGGATGTGATGCTATTGCTTTCAAAACTTGTAGAGAGATGGAAGGGCCCTATTGCGATTATATCGAAACCCAATATAAGAAGCCGGTGATTCTGGCAGGGCCGGTGGTGCCAGAGATCCCAACTGTTGAGTTGACGAAAAATGGGCAAAATGGCTTGAAGGGTTCGAGGTCAAAAGCATGATTTACTGCGCATTTGGAAGCCAATGCATTCTGAAAATTGATCAGTTTCAAGAATTGTTGTTGGGTTTTGAGCTCACAGGTTTGCCCTTCTTCGCGGCGCTGAAGCCGCCTATGAGAGCTGAATCGATCGAGTCAGCATTGCCGGAAGGGTTTGAGGAGAGGACACGAGGAAGAGGGGTTGTTTACGGTGTTAGAATATAAGTATGAAACTGAATATTATAACCGGTTACAGTGTTTCAATTGACATAGAAAAGTCTTGCTAGAAAGCTTAAAACTATCCTAAATCTTGTAGGATTGTAATTCAGATATGATTTTGGATTCATAGTTGGTATCCTATGGTGTTTCTAATAGGAGAATTATTAGGATTAATCTATAATAAATAGCGGTCACTGCTCTCACAAAATACATGCTCAATATTGAACTAAAACCTATTGTTAGTTTGAGTACTTTTGGTTTTGCAAGAGAGGAGAAGGTGCACTGTTTAGAAGTTTACTTTGGCTTCTTCTTCTGCTGCTTTTACGTGTTAGTTTGTCATTGTGTTTATCAAATTGTGATTTTAATACTTGAATAAGTTTGTGGTTCATGAGTTTAATCTCTTAACTTATATTTTTGATAAGTTTAATCTTACATACGGGGGTTGGGTTCAGCAGCCATTGTTCTTGAGGCACCCTTCTGTGGGGTGCTTTGTGACTCATTGCGGCTCAGGGTCTTTGTCCGAGGCGCTAGTGAATGAGTGCCAATTGGCTGCTGCCGAATGCGGGTGATCAGATCATCAATGCGCGAATGATGGGCCGCGATCTGAAGGTGGGAGTCGAAGTGGAGAAAGGAGACTTAGACGGCCTGTTCACGAAGGATGGTGTTGCCAAGGCAGTGGAAGCTGTGATTGAGGATGGCGGTGAGGTAGCTGAGGAGGTGAGGAGCAACCATGCAAAATGGAGGGAATTTTTCTCCGGCAAAGGGCTTGGTAGCTCTTATTTGGATAGTTTTGAACAAAAGCTGCATCAACTGCTTGAATGATTTTCTCTAAGTAGCCTTTGACGAAGTAAACTTCCTCAATTCGTTTTCTTCTGCACGCTATGATAATTATCTTGATTGATAGAGTTTTATGCTTAAATCTTGTTCTTTGAAACTTCATTCCTAAGAAGAATGTTGGAATTTATGTTGAAGTAAATGAAACAAATTACTAGACGTGTTATGAATTGAAAGGATTTGTAGCACCACGGCAACATTCCATATATATATATATATATATATGTTTGATCTTTTAAGTTAGAAGTAACAGATTATTATTTTGTTCTTTGTTTCAAGCTTTTTTCTTGGTGTGACCTTTTCCTGATTTGCAATTGTCAGTTTTCTACTCTTGCACTTGATCTTCGATTAAGCCTTACAATTTTTGACACCCTTACAGAAAATAATATGTGCTGGATAATGGTTTTTGTATGAGACCCAATAAAACTCAATCCTATCCTAACTTTTAGGGACTGACCGACAGGGACCCCAAATTTCCAAAATAGAATTCTCTCATCTCCTATTACCATCCTCTTCAATCATCTCCTCTCACTCTTTTTTTTGTCTTATTCTCTATATAAAAATTTCAACACAAAATGTAGATATGACGTAATCGCAATCGTTTAAATAGAAGATAATAGAAGAGAAGAGAGATTCGGAGGGGAGATAATCCTACTCCCATATTCCCAATCCCGCAAATTTAACAAATCATGATGGTTTACTTTTCAAAATTCGTTATCACAACTAAAGTACTGCATTTATTGAAAAGAATTTTATAATAATTGGGAACTTTAATGAAAAGGTTTTGGACAAAATTTATTTTAATAAAAAAATCCACTAAGTAAGCGGCATTTTATTACAATTGTAGAAAGGTGTTGAGTCATTGCATGACAACGTGGGTTTAAACCCTACTGGTAGCAAAACTAACATCTAATCAAACAAAATCTATTGTTAGACAAAAAAAAAAAAAAAAAAAACCATCTACTAATTTTATTTAATGTAAAGAGCCTCAAATTTAATGAAAATGATAAATATTTACTAATTAATGAAACCCTCTTTGTCAATCAAAAGAGAGTGAAAATACAACTTATTCTTTTATCACAAAAAAAATGATGGGCAATAATGTAATTTTACAAGTCTAAATTTTACTGTTTTTTTTATTAAAGTCTCACCTACAGGTGATGTTAAAATATCTCTAATATTTGAAATTAAAAAAAAAACAAAAAAACAAAAACCCGCTACTTTCTCTCTCCCTCTCTCTTTCTCATTTTCTAAAAAAATGTGTTCATACACACAAAGTGTGTAGGCAAATGCTAGTACAATATAATAAGAACAAAAAGTAAAGCCCATAAATAGCAATCATGTTCGTCAGTCCAATTCCTCTCGATTTGTCCGTCAACTAGCAAAAATTCCTCTCAATTCATGATATTTAGAGAGTGAGAAATGTTGATGCTGGAATATGGTGTTTATTTGGGGGCTAGGGTTTCGATAAAATTCTACGGTGAAATCGAAAAACCCAAGTCGAATGGCCCCTCTTTGATATGCAAGCCGTGTTGGAGAGATTTTTCAATGTGATCAGTATACAAAGTGATACACCACATATCACTATACAAATGATGAGATGTATGTGCTAAAAAGTTAATAACTTAAAAAATAAAATTTTCCACAACTTCTATTAAAATACGTGGTATACCACGTGTGTTCACGTTATAATTAAAAAAATTTCGCCGTGCTGTGGAGGGAAATCCAAAATATCCCACTATAAATATGTGAAAGCTTTCGGTTTTGTTTGACTTTGACTCTTCTACTGTTGGGTTGGGCCTGATGGTTAATTTACTCTGCATAAACAAGGGCCCAATTACTTGCAAAGGCCCGTTATAAAAAATTAATGGGCTTGACCACAAAGACCCAATTTCTCCCCATCCCCGAAAAGAAAACTCTGATACGGGACGGAAGCAATAGACTTGTAGCTTAAATGGTTGAAAGTTTTTATTCATGCATCTCATTTTCACGTCTCATGTCCCAATCTTCCCTCCTCAGTATCATTAGCTTTAGGCTGGACCTATCTGCACACTCTCTGTTAATTTTTGTCTTTTGCTCATTTTTAATTTAATTGATATGACGACAAAAAATAAGAAGGATGTGTATAATAAGGTATATAAGAAACATGATATGGTGACTGAAATGGAAATGGAATTTGGAATTTGGAATTTGGAACGACACCACACACATTTTACACTTTTGTGGCTTACCCTAGTTAGTCAATTCGGAGTTGGTAAATTCAAGTCTAATATGCGCATGTGCATATTTTTTTATATAAATATTATTGTATCGTATAAATACACGTAATTTTCAAGCAATTTTGAATAATACAGGTTAAATTTAGCATGTTATACACCTATTTTTTCATACATTATTGAAAAAAGACTAATATTAAACAACATTGGAAAAAAAAAAATCCTTATCTTTTTATGTAAATTTGATGATGCATATATTTTTCAACAATTCATCAAGGGGTGCAACTCGGGTGGGTTGGACGGGTTGGAAGGTCAACCCAATCTTAACCCAACTTTTACAATTCGGGTTCGGGTTTAGGTTGTCATTCGGGTTCATTTGGGATTGGGTTTAATTGGGTTAGGCTTTACTTGGGTTGGGTTCGGATTGTCCAACTTTTTCAAGTTTAATCTTGTACCAACTTAGTTTCCAAGAATTCCTAAAAAAATTAAGCCAAGTAGCATCAAAGCTAGCTAACTTTACATAAATCAATCTACTATAAAACTTTAGGATTTAGAGACTACGAATATGAGCTGACTAATTAACGCCTCTTATTACCTAAAAGTTTAAGTAATTATAAAGGATAATTTATTAAAAAATATTAGAAATGGCGGAAGTTTTTGGACTTGGCTCACTTGGGTGTAGTATTAGCATTAATTGATATGTATTTGGTTAGTCGGGTTGGGTTGGGTTGGGTTGGGGATGGACGAGCAAATGATCAACCCAATTCAACTCAATCAATGAACGGGTTGAAATTAGGTTGGGTTCGGACGAGTTATAATTATATAAAAAACTCACTCGTTCGGGTTTAAAATCGTATGGACGGGTTAGGATTGGCCCAACCCAAGTTACACCCCTAAATTCACCATTCACCATTCACCAACCAGAAAAACCAAAGGAAACTAGAAGCACATCACATTTAGCATCACCAAAACGACCACTTCTCACTCATATTTTTTAGCCGTGATCGATATCTACTTCTGACTACCAGTTGGTTAAATATCCAACAAATTCGCAGATTTTGTGTACTTTGACTCATTCTTCTTTAGGCATGCAATACTCATTTCGAACCCCGAGTTAGGTAAACAAATTTTTTTCCTTCTTATTTTTGTCCCAACTTACAGCAGCTATTTGTGCTGATTTCTGATTAGTACCAAGAGTTCCTTGGTTCTTCGATGAACAAGGTAAGTACAGCTTGTACTGTACATGGATTGTTTTGTTTGATCTGAGCGATATTTTGATATTATAATTTAAACTACTGAAAGGAGAATTCAAGCTTCAGGTTGCCCCACACTGATCTAGCCAGCTTGACTACGTCCAGCCTGCAAACATGGGGGCCAAGAAACTTCACATTGCCATGTATCCTTGGTTTGCAATGGGGCACCTGACCTCATTCCTCCACATCTCCAACAAATTAGCTGAGAGAGGTCACAGAATCTCCTTCTTTATCCCCGTCAAAACCCTACAAAAGTTGGAGGCTTTTAATCTCTACCCGGATCGCATTGCCTTCATCCCCATCAATGTCCCTCACGTTCCCGGCCTTCCCCCAGGCACCGAAACCACAGCTGACGTTCCTTTCCCTCTTCACTCGCTCCTCATGACCGCCATGGACCTCACCCGGCCTGAAATTGGACAAGCCCTCAGGGAACTCAAGCCCGATTTTGTTTTCTTCGACTTCACACAATGGATGCCGGAGTTGTTACATGAGCTTGATATGGGCACTAAGTCCATACATTACTGCACAATTAGTCCTGCAACAGTCCTGTACCTGTCAACCCCCGAAAGAAATCTGATGGAGAAACAACCAACGGTGGCTGACCTTATGCTGCCTCCGCCATCTTTCCCTGCGTCATCAATTACGCTACGAACGCACGAAGCTCGTGGGCTTGTAGATGTCATGTTGAAGGAATTCGGCCGTGGGGTGACATTCATGCAACGCCAATTTCGTTCTTTTAGTGGATGCGATGCTATTGCTTTCAAAACTTGTAGAGAGATAGAAGGGCCCTATTGCGATTATATCGGAACCCAATTAAGGAAGCCGGTGTTTCTAGCAGGGCCGGTGGTGCCAGAGACCCCAACTAAAGAGTTGGACGAGAAATGGTCAAAATGGCTTGAAAGGTTCGAGGCCAAAAGCATGATTTACTGTGCATTTGGAAGCGAATGCATACTGAAAATTGATCAGTTTCAAGAATTGTTGTTCGGTTTTGAGATCACAGGTTTGCCCTTTTTCGCGGCGCTGAAGCCGCCTATGGGAGCTGAATCGATCGAGTCAGCATTGCCGGAAGGGTTTGCGGAGAGGACACGAGAAAGAGGGGTTGTTTACGGGGGTTGGGTTCAGCAGCCATTGTTTTTAAGGCACCCTTCTGTGGGGTGCTTTGTGACTCATTGCGGCTCAGGGTCTTTGTCCGAGGCGCTAGTGAATGAGTGCCAATTGGTGCTGCTGCCGAATGTGGGTGATCAGATCATCAATGCGCGAGTGATGAGCCGCGATCTGAAGGTGGGAGTGGAAGTGGAGAAAGGCGACTTAGATGGGCTGTTCACAAAGGAGGGTGTTTCCAAGGCAGTGGAAGCTGTGATGGAGGATGGCGGTGAGGTAGCCGAGGAGGTGAGGAGCAACCATGCAAAATGGAGGGACTTTTATGCCGCAAAGAGCTTGAGAACTCTTATTTGAATAGTTTTGAACAAAAGCTGCATCAACTGCTTGAATGATTTTCTCTAGGTAGCCTTTGGGGAAGTAGGATTCCACAATTCGTTTTCTCACACGCACGCTATGATAATTATCTTGATTGATTGAGTTTTATGCATAAATCTTATTCTTTGAAACTTCGTTCCTAAGAAGAACATTGGAGTACTAATTAACTTGAAGTAAAAGAAACAGATTACTAGAGTCGATCTTTTAAATTAGAAGTAACAGAATATTATTTTGTTCGTTGCTTCAATCTTTTTTTCTTGGTGTGACCCTTTTCTGATATGCAAATGTCAGTTTTCTACTCTCGCACTTGATCCTGGAGCGAGCCTTACATTTTTTGAAACCTTTTCTGTTTGAACGAGGAAATTAAAGATTATTAAGGAATTCTAAAATGATGGAAATTGAAATGATGAAACTTTATTTTTAAAATTTTTTGATTTTCTTGTTTGGTTAATCTAAAAGAACAATGTAATTTGAATACGGAATTTGCTATTTTTAAACTCTCATTCATAGAAATTGGGAAATGACACATATTAACATGAAATTTAAACTTGAGAATAGAAGGCCTTAAATTCTAAGTTTTTTTTTCCACGTGAAAATTCTAAATTTCCGTGTTTATAAATACAAATTTACGACATATTGATCAAATAATGACAACGCAGAGATTAAATATTGACGACAATTAATATCGTCATATATTACCGTTTCTAGACTTAGCTTAGAATTCACAAATCAAACAATTGAACCTCTCAATTTAAAGGTCCTAAAATTGATAATTTAAATAGTGTAATTTTAGGACAAGTATTCTCCCCCCTCTTTTTTTCCCTCCCCTTCTCTCCCCTTCTGATTGTGCATCATTTCAAAAAAAAAAACATCTCATAAAGTAATAAAAATATATCGATCAGATAATGACAATATATCGCTCAAGCAAACAGCAACTCACAAACAAACAAGCAATGCACAACGGAACAAAATGTCCAACAGCTCTTTTGAATTGCATAAATAAATTTTAGATGGCAAAATTTTCCGGGGACCCCTTTAAATTTAGGACCCATGTCGGATTACACATTTTGCTCCCCTCAAAGCCGCCTATGTAACCCAACACCCACTACACCTACTTTTTCATACATAATTGAAAAGAGGATTTTTACCAAACAATATTAATAAATAAACATTTGTTGTATTAGCCAAGGTTCTAAAAGACGTTGAACTAGTCAGGTAGCGAGTTGGGACTTAGCGCCTGGGCAGTTAGGCAAGATCATAATTGGGGCCTAGGCTTAGGCGTTGTCATGGCGGGGGCCTAGGCTTGCTAAGCGGATTTAAGTAAATTTTTGTATATCATATAAATAAGTGCCATTTATACTTATAAAATATAATTGTGTTGGAAAACATAAATTGCAAAGTAAAATGACATTTAGGTTATTAGAACATATTAATAAACATGGAGAACAAACATATACTGAGTGTTCATCTAAGTATTCAACAGGTCTCTTACATTTTATTGAAAAAAATAAAATGCAAAATGAAAGTTATTGATTTTTTGTCTAAGTGAGAATCGCGACCTAAATGGGTGCCTAAGCGGTCTAGGCGGGTGCTTAGGCGGTCTAGGCAGGCGCCTAGTTGGGTTAGGTGGACACCTGAGCAAGTCTAGGCATTCTTTCTTAATTTTCAAATGCCCATAATTAATCGGGGCGATAATTAGCCGCCTAAAGCTTAGGCGTCCACCAGAAAAACCAAAGGAAACTAGAGCCACATCACATTTAGCATCACCAAAACGACCACGTCTCACTCATCATCTTTTCTTGTGATCAGTATCTACTTCTAACCACCAGTTGGTTAAATATCCAACAAATTCGCAGATTTTGTGTATTTGACACTCTCCTTTAGGCATGCCAGGATCATTTCCAACCCTGACTTAGAAAAAAAAAAAGTCTTATTTTTGTTACAACTACAGCAGCTTTATGAGCTGATTTCTGTTAAGTAGCAACAGGTTCTTGGTTCTTCAATGGAACCAGGAAACTATAAGGATTGTTCTGTTTGATCTGAGCAATATTTAAATATAATTGTTCTATTTGATCTGAGCGATATTTTAATATAATCTAATCTACTGAGAGGAGAATTTAGCTTCTGTGTATAGGGTTGCCCCACGCTAATCTAGCGAGCTTGACTACATCCGGCCAGCAAACATGGGGGACAAGAAACTTCACGTTGCCATGTATCCTTGGTTTGCAATGGGGCACCTGATCGCATTCCTCCACACCTGCAACAAATTAGCTGAGAGAGGCCACAGAATCTCCTTCTTTGTCCCCGTCCAAACCCTACAAAAGTTACAGGCTTTTAATCTCTACCCGGATCGCATTGCCTTCATCCCCATCAATGTCCCTCACGTTGACGGCCTTCCCCCGGGCACTGAAACCACAACTGACGTTCCTTTCCCCCTGCACTCGCTCCTCATGACCGCCATGGACCTCACCCGGCCTGCAGTTGGACAAGCCCTCAGGGAACTCAAGCCCGATTTTGTTTTCTTTGACTTCACGCATTGGATGCCGGAGTTGTTACATGAGCTTGATATGGGCATTAAGTCCATACATTACTGCATAATTAGTCCTGCAACTATCGGGTACCTGTCAACCCCCGAAAGAAATCCGACGGAGAAACTGCCAACGGCTGCTGACCTTATGCTGCCTCCGCCATCTTTCCCTGCATCATCGATTACCCTACGAACGCACGAAGCTCGTGGGCTTGTAGCTGTCTTGTTGAAGGAATTCGGCCGTGGAATGACATTCATGCAACGCCAATTTCTTTCTTTTAGTGGATGTGATGCTATTGCTTTCAAAACTTGTAGAGAGATGGAAGGGCCCTATAGCGATTATATCGAAACCCAATATAAGAAGCCGGTGATTCTCGCAGGGTCGGTGGTGCCAGAGACCTCAACTACAGAGTTGGACGAGAAATGGGCAAAATGGCTTGAAGGGTTCGAGGCCAAAAGCATGATTTACTGCGCGTTTGGAAGCGAATGCATTCTGAAAATTGATCAGTTTCAAGAATTGTTGTTGGGCTTTGAGCTCACAGGTTTACCTTTCTTCGCAGCGTTGAAGCCGCCTATGGGAGCTGAATCGATCGAGTCAGCATTGCCGGAAGGGTTTGAGGAGAGGACACGAGGAAGAGGCGTTGTTTACGGGGGTTGGGTTCAGCAGCCATTATTCTTGAGGCACCCTTCTGTGGGGTGCTTTGTGACCCATTGCGGCTCAGGGTCTTTGTCCGAGGCGCTAGTGAATGAGTGCCAACTGGTGCTGCTGCCGAATGTTGGGGATCAGATCATCAATGCGCGAATGATGGGCTGCGATCTGAAGGTTGGAGTGGAAGTGGAGAAACGAGACTTAGACGGGCTGTTCACGAAGGAGGGTGTTGCCAAGGCAGTGGAAGCTGTGATGGAGGATGGCGGTGAGTTAGCCGAGGAGGTGAGGAGCAACCATGCAAAATGGAGGGAATTTTTCTCCGGCCAAGGGCTTGGTAACTCTTATTTGGACAGTTTCGAACAAAAGCTGCATAAACTGCTTGAATGATTTTCTCTAGGTAGCCTTTGAGGAAGTAAAATTCCTCAATTCGTGTACTGCTCACGTAACGATAATTATCTTGATTAATCGCGTTTTATGCTTAAATCTTGTTCTTTGAAACTTCGTTCCTAAGAAGAATGTTGGATTACTAACATGAAGTAAAAGAAACAAATTACTAGACGTGTTATGATTTGAATGGATTTGTAACACCACAACAACATTCCATATATATATATATATATATATATGCAGTTTGATTTTTAAGTTAGAAGTAACAGATTGTTATTTTGTTCTTTGTTTGAAGCTTTTTTTCTTGGTGTGACCTTTTCCTGATCTGCAAATGTCAGTTTTCTAATCTTGCACTTGATCTTCGATTGAGCCTTACATTTTTTGAAACCCTTACAGAAAATAATATGTGCTTGATAATGGTGTTTTTATAGACCCAATAAATTCAATCCTAGCCTAATTTTACGGACTGACCAACAAGGATCCCAAATTCCCAATCCCACAAATTTGACATCACGATGTTCTACTTTTCAAAATTTGTTATCATAACTAGAGTATCGCATTTATTGATAACATTCTTGACCATCTTTTTAATGTAAATTAGTTCTAGGTACGTTAGATCAACAATGTAAATAGTAAATAATATATATATATAGTATTATTTTGACTTGAGACCAAACACCTTGACAACATAATATGATCAATATATGTTGTATAAGGTCAACCTCTATTAAACACGAGTTGAGATCATCTCCAGATCTCATTGTTCGGAGCCTATCAACTAAAAAATCTAAACCGGTCAAAAAAGAGAGATTCGGGCCCTAGTTTTGTGTGAGTTGACCAGTGAAATAGGTTAACGAGAACTACAATATTCAATTTGAGTCATTCAGGGTCCTTGAGCTCTAAACAATTAGATCTAGAGAGAATCTCAACTAATAAAATACCATATTATTGTTCCTTGATGCGTTGCCGTTCATATACCAAAGCTACTTTTTCATTATTTAAAGAATAATTATTTAATGGCACACAGAAGCTCGAATGAACAAACAAGTTTATAAACCAGTTTAAGAGTGAAAAACTCAAAGAGGCAATTTTCCGATAAACTAAAGACAAGCTCAAACTCGAATACTAACAACATACCGATTCGATTTGATAATGATGACATATGGATTATAATTACAATATATGGGTCATATACTTGGGGCATATGTGGATCAAATACTGACAACGTATTGATCAAGTATTGACAACAATTAATATCGTTAAATAATTACTGTTTCCAAACCTATGGCATATTGGGTGGAGGGGAGTAATCGCTTAGAATTCACAGATCAAACAATTGAACCTCTCAATTTAAAGGTCCTAAACTTGATAATTTAACTAGTGTAATATTTAGCACGTTTCATACTACGGGGGTACATGATGGTTGTGCATAATTGAAGAAAACATCTCTTAAAAATAATAAAAATACATCGAACAGATAATGACAACATATCAATCAATTAGGCAGCAACTCACAAAGAAATAAGCAGTGGACAACTGGAAAAATGTCCAAGAGCTCGTTTGAATTG